CCAAGTAAGGGGGGCCCCCCAACGAGCCCAAGCCTCCACGGGGTTGAGAGCGGGCCAGAAGCAGCAGCGCAGAGGTGAGGCCGGGTCCCCGCGAAAGCGCACCCGCGCCTCGGAGCCTGGGACTCGGCGGCTCCCACCGGGGCCTACCGCACTGAGGTTGCGGAGCCCGACGAGTGGTTCGGGGGCGCCCCCTGAGGTCCAGCGGCGTCACCGCACCTTCGGAAAACGGCAAGCGCGAGTCCCCCAAGGCTCTGACATTTTAACTTTGCCGGGTTCCCACTGCCGGCTGCACTTTTCCAAACCATAGCCTCCTCTCCCCACCCCCCCCCCCCCCCCGCTTCCGCGCGACTCACACCCCTGCCCTGTCCCCACCCGACACCTTGCGGCTCCGGGGCAGGGGACGGGCCATTCACCTCGCACCGTGGGCACGGAAAGAAATGTAAACGACGAAAACTGTCCAAGCACCACGAGGGCGGCATGACTGGCATCCCATTGTGGATTTCCAGCGTCCTGAGAGCAGGAAAAGGGGAATCACGGCCGGCCCACTCGCTGGCTGCACGCCGAGCGTAAGGAGAAGCCAGAGTGGAATTAAAAATCCCTCCTGTTTCGCAAGGCCGCTCACCTGCTGCCCCCAGGAACGCGTGACCCGTACCAAGCTTTACCCCAGTGTGCACCTGAGCTCACTCGGCCGGCTAGTCCGCAGGACAGAAGTCTAGAAAGAGCAGAGGACTAACGGCACCACTCAGCAGTGGTCTTTGAAGGGGGAGAGGGCATCATGAAGGGGACATGTCCACGCCGCCCCAGCCCCATGGAGGCAGGGCTCTGGTGGGCAGACCCCAGGCCTCAGGGCGAGTGGGGACGCGCGTCCTCTCTCAGCATCGAGCTGGGCTTCTGGGCTGAGGCTGAAGCTCAGCGCAGTTCCAGGGGCAGGACAATGCGCAGAGGGACAGCGGGTGCCGCGGAGAGGGCGATGCTCGGCCTCTCGGCCCCTCGAGGCCGCCCCAGTGCCTGCAAAGGAGACACTCGCTACCGGTCCCCGGGGCAGCAAGCGCGCCCGTGCCCTCTGTAGGGCGCACCGCGGAGCTCAGGGACCCTCTGCACCAAAACCGAGCGCTCGGGACGCCCGGGGGCAGGCGGCTGTGACCAGGGAAAGCAAAACACATCGAGGCACGTTTCCCTTTTTTTATTTCAGATAACCCCCGCCTCTGGGTATCGTGGAGCTGGTGGATGAGAAGGCATAAAAAGCCTCCTAAGGACAGAAGGGTGAAAAAAACGAATCGCCCCCTTCTTCCCACCCCTTCCCCAGCTAGGGCACAGACCGTGGCCTCCGCCCCGGAGGAGGCGGCTGGACGGATTCAAGGGAGCTCGGGGCTGCAGCCCGGAGGGCCTGCAGGATGGTGGAGGGAGGCGGATGGCCTCTCCCTCCACGAGGGTAAAGAGTACGGTGGGTTGGGGGGAGTCTGCTGGTGGAGGGCTAGAAGTGGGCACCCTGCTACATGCGGTTACTTATTATCTTCAACGATGGTCAATAACGTCCCTGTCTTAACCCGGTCAGAAAGGAGCGGGTCTGGGTCTGCCTGCCGCGAACAGCCTGCAAAAGGGCAAAGATGAAGGTAGGCAGGCGCGCGAAAGGGGAAAAATCCGCCCCGGCTCGAACAGCAACCTAGTTGCCGACGCCCCCCCCCCCCAACCCCCACCCCCGCGCCCGGACCCGAGCAGCCCCGCCGAGCAGAGTTTCGGGGTGAAGGGGCCGCGTGCCGGGGCTGGGGAAGCCAGAAATCTCCCTAAACCGCCTGCTCCCTGCCCTCCCGCCGTGCTCAGGCCCCCGCTCCCGGGAAGGCAGCCTCGCGCCGGCACCGGAACGCAGCCCGCGCGCTCCAGTGCCGAGCGGGGGTCGCCCCTGGCCCGCGAGACCGGAATGCAGACTGCTCCCAACATTCCCAATGGTCCGCGGTCAGCCTCCAGCTTCCCTCCCCCGGGACCCAGCCTTTCCAAAGGGTTGGTGGGCAGCAGAGCAAGTCCCTCCCACCCCCCCTTCTGAGCGCCTTTAAGACCCGCCTGGGCGAGGGGCGCACCCTGGACCCCTCAAACCCACAGAGGCATTCTCCCATGGTCCCAGTCTCCCCCAACAGCCCCAAAGATCGAGCTCTCACGAACGGCGGCGGATCAGCAGAACAAGTCCCTCTTTTCTCCCGACTCTGGCTCCCCAGGCCTCCCAAACCCGAGCGAGAGCAGACCCCTGCTGCCCCCGTCCCCCTTTCCCCGCCAGCCCCTTCTTCCACCCTCGGCAACCACAAGCCTCCCTACGCCATTAGAACCAGCCTAGTGGATCCCTCTCTCCTCCCCGGGCGTCCGCCCCCCTCCCCTCCACTGTCTCCGGGGTCCCCGGGACCGGCGCCCGAGCTCCGTGCCCCGGCGACAACTCCGCATCCCCCGCGCGCGCCGGTCAGGGCCGCGTCCCCTCGGCGGCCGGGCACTCACCCGGGAAGCACACGACATAATGGAGCACGGAACTGGTGATTTTCAGGAACAAAATCCACCAACACGGTTCCAGTAACCTCCGCATGTCCGAAAACGCACATCGAAAAGAGGGTGGCAGGGGGGTAAACTTGTTGAATAAGTTCTCGCCTCCGTGTGAGCCTCCACTAAACCCGGGCTCTTCCCCTGCTCGCCCGTTCTACGGGCCCCCGAGGCTCGGCGGTCCGAGTCCCTCTGGAATCCGGGAAGCCAAGTGTCCCCAAGAAAAACCTCAAAAAGTGACCGGAACGCGGAGCCACGCGGGGGACGATCCTCGGCGGAGAAGGGCTGCTTTCCGTTCAAGGAGAGAAGCGAGCGAGCAAGGCGAGGAGTCGGCGGGCGGCCGCGATGCCTGGGGCCCGGGGCCGACAGGGTCCGCAGGCGGCAGCGGCGAGCAGCCGAGGATCCCCAAGTTGAGTCGTCAGCGCGGCGCAGCCCGAGAGCCGGCGGGCGGCGGCAGGGCTGAGCGCGGCTCGGCGTCTCCGGGCTTCAGGCAGGCAGCTCCTTCCAGGGCCCCGGGAAGGAAGGAGGCATGTTTGCGAACGGGGAAGGGGAGGAGAGAGGCGGGGGGAGCGAAGATCCCCCCCAAAATAGAAACGCCAGGAGGAAAACACAAAGGATCTCAGAGGAACGCTGGGGCCGGGGCGCCTTCAGTCCATGCTCCTGAAAGTT